CAGAAAGTGCTTAATGGGCGGAAGATGTTGCCCTGATTGTGATACCTGTCTTGTCATATATTAAAATGAGTGATTTGTCTAAGGACTGTATTGATCATATTTGTCCAATCCTCCCCATTTTAAGTATATTTTAACATCCTAGCACACCCCCCCCCCCCAACCCCCACCCCCACACGCCATAATAACCTTATACATATGACATTTTCTCATGACACCCCCTTCCTATTACACATGACCCCCCCCCCCCCCCCCCCCCACACACACACACACACACACACACACACACACATACACACACACACCGTCCTTTACTGTTGTATTAAACTTTGGCAACCCCCTCTTTCGCTGTGTTGTGCCATGCCACCACCTCCACCCACCCACCCCCCTTCCCCCCCTTAATCTCACCCCAACCCTCATTAGGGTATATACCCTAGATGTTCCTTTGTCCACTCGCATCCCCCATCACCTTCTCACTATATGTACCTTGTCATTCTGGCCCGTGAAGACGCCGGGGTAGAATAGGTCTTCAGCAACCCATGCTTGCCGTAAAAGGTGACTATGCTTGTCGTAAAAAGGCGACTAACGGGATCGGATGGTCAGGCTCGCTGACTTTGTTGATGCATGTAATCGATCCCAATTGCGTGGATCGATGCTCATGATATTAATCACTGGATTGTCTGGTCCAGACTCGATTATTTACAGACCGCCGTCATATAGCTGGAATATTGCTGAGAGCGGCGTAAAACAACAAACAAACCAAACCAAAACAAACCTTGTCATTCTGACAAAAGTGGCGTAAAATAAGAAATCGAATAACTGATATGGCCAACGATAATTTAATTAAAGCTTTCTATCAAGTCAAAAGTTTACATACCGCTCCCATCGTTCCCACCACAGCGCGTTGAGGGCATCACTCCAAAACTGACCACTTAGCGTGACTCAAAATATTGTTGTAACAAATGGACAACACCGCTTTATCCTAACGTATCCATTCACGCATTTGTGTTGTCTGTGACTTGACGGCCTGTTTGATCTCGTCCTTGTAGTCGCCACCTGCCTTATGTCGACAACGCTGAAGTTGGCTCCGCTAACATACTGGTCAGAACATACTGATTCTATCGCCCACGAGCAAAGGTACTGTAAGTCCCCATGGTCCCCAGTATGCTGGTCTACATTCAGTTGCTGGCGATATATAGCCCGTTTTTATCTTGTATCGCGTCATGTAGGGTGCTATTCTCTTTTATGGTTCCGTACTAGTTTTATATCTTTTTCTGTGATAAATCTAGTTACTTTACTGTCCTTCGTTTTTATATAAGTTTTAATATATGTACAGTCAACTACGGTTGTAACGAACTCGCTTATAACGAACTGACGGATACAACGAACTTACTTTTTGGTCCCGACTATTTGCTGTAGTTATGCTGTATATATGCTTATAACGAACTACGGTTATAACGAACTAAAATTAGAAGTCCCTTTGAGTTCGTTATAACCGTAGTTTACTGTATTATGTTTAACTATTGATGGTCACGATATAGCTGAAATATTGCCGATGTGACTTAAAATTTTAGTGAGTGAGTGAGTATGGTTTTACGCCGCTTTTAGCAATATTCCAGCAATATCACGGCGGGGGACACCAGAAATGGGCTTCACACATTGTACCCATGTCGGAATCGAACCCGGGTCTTCGGCGTGTCGAGCGAACGCTTTAACCACTAGGCTACCCGACCGCCCTCTTAAAATTTTAACTCACTCACTATTGCCCACGTTGTTGTCCAGCACCATGACTGTGGAACATTAGCATTTTATGAAACTAAACCAATCTAAAAAAATTAGCCAGGTTTATGACATCATCAGGAAGCAAGCAAACAAACAAACAAAAACACTTCCATTTAAGTAACTCATTTGTTAAACCACTCTCAATGCTGGCGCCGGTCTCGGTCAAATTTATTTTTAAATTTCAACATTCTGTTTCCATGGACACATACTAATTAAGGAAGGACAAATAAAAAGATTTTTATCGAAAACTCACCAATTTAAATCATGTGGTCCAGGGGCATCCCACAGCGATGGGAGTTTCTGAATAAATGGATTTCCAGAAATAAAATGTGACATTTTAAGTTTAATATGCCTTCGAAGCTCATTTTTGTATCAGCTAAATGACACTGAAGTCAGTCGTCCCCCCTTAAGTACAGCTCTGGGGAGCACCCTGCATTTCGTCATATCTGTTTTTGATTAAAACATTTAAACCCAGTTAACCCTAAGTGGTGGGAACAATCAAACACATTGAGTTAACCCTTGTTTCAGACAGTGCGCGGTATTTGATCAAAATACGTTTACTGATTGGGGAAAGATGAAATAACATATTAGTCTTAAACGATATATCCCGGTGATGGAGTCCGAGATATCCTTTCACTTTTTGTTTAAAAATTCGTCTTAAGACAAAACAGATAATGAATAGAAAATGTCAACGCCAGAGAATATTGAATCTCGATTATCTGTCCTGCCCTATAGAAGATGGTATCAAAAGTTATATAGTTACCCTTCTGTAAAAGTTTGTTTGTTTGTTGTGTAACGTCGCACTCAGCAATATTCCAGCTATAAGAGGGCGGTCTGTAAATAATCGAGTCTGGACCAGACAATCCTGTGATTAATACCATGAGCATCGATCCACGCAATTGGGAGTCGATGACATGCATCAACCAAGTCAGCAAGCCTGACCACCCGATCCCGTTAGTCGCCTTTTACAACAAGCATAGTGGCCTTTTACGGCAAGCATGGGTTGCTGAAGACCTATTCTACCTCGGATCCACTCGATTAGTAATTTTAATGATATCTTTATTTAATTTAATGATATCATAAATTCTTTCAAAGATATCAGGACTTATATTATTGTAATCCAGCTTTGCATGGTGGAGCTCAGGTGATTCTACATATAAGGAGTGACCCCACCCCGGAAACTAGCTCCAGCTGTGTGGGTCAGTTGGTACAACGCTCCCCGGGACGGGGGGAATTCTTTACCCAACCAGGGGAATATTGAACCAATTTGTGGTACTTCATTCGTTTGCGGCTTTTGATATTTTGCAGGTTTCGTATCATGTCTTTGCTCTCTATTTTTCGAATCGTTTTCTAATTTCATGTGGTGTATCCATTGCCTTGATGTTAAAGCGCGTCCAACATATTTTTTAACATAATTGAGCCATTCAAAATAATAAAACGTCGGTGGTTGGATCCCCTTGTCTCGTTTTAGCATAATACGTTAAAACATGGTGGCTGTTGTTACCGTGCCTGGCGCTTGGGAAAACAAAGGATGGTCGGCTCGGAGTTTGCATAACGTATCTGATTTGCCGCATAATATCTTAATGGGCTAGCACCATAAAACAGGCATAAGTCCCGACAAGGACCAATATACATAAAGGTCCGTGGTCCCGACTAGTATAAGCCGCCACAAGAAGCGTTCCTGAAAAGAAACATTTAAAATGGAAATAGTTGCTTTAATAGTCCGTTTTATTTTGTGTTGGATTTATTGAATTTGAGAGTTATTTAAGGGTGTGTTCTATTTATAATCATTGACAATATACATGAATATATTCATTAAAAATATATATTCATTAAAAATGTCTGACTATTATAGTACAAACATGTTGGTTATTTTCATTATGTCAAAAGAAATGTGTTGTGAAATTAAGGAGGTAATATTTAGCACATATATACTGCATTATACAAATATTGATGAAATTAATAAAATTATACAAATATTGATGAAATTAATAACATGTGATACCAATTTTTGTCTTTGATATCGTTAAATATTTTACATATGCTTTTAGCAGAGATTTCATATGAGTATGGAAAGGGTTTTGTCCCTTTTATGAACATTAAGAATTAAATTTCACGATATCAATATAGCATACAAAAAGCAGCTAAAACCGATACTGTCCTAAACGTGTTCCTCATTGTCTAAAGCACTCTCATTAACTAATCCAAGAACGTTTCAATTCGAATGTCACATGTGCCGTAGTCATTGCAATCAGTATTTGCACAAGGCAATCGTAGAAATAATCCATTCTGAAAGAAGCTTTGGAAGCATGTCCTCACAGGACGAACCCGAGACAGAGTGATATCAGACATGGAGCATTGTTTCCACAGCGTCCTCTCCGGGGCGGAGTGTTACGTTACATCGACCCCCCTCCCCCTCCCCCGGGACCAGATGCCCATCAGTAACATTCCACGGACATCGTGGTATTTTTAAGAGAGAGAGAGAGAGATTACTAGTTTATTTGGAATATGCAAATAATTCGATATACCAAAAGAGAGAGTGTGTGTGAGAGAGAGAGAGAGAGAGAGAGAGAGAGAGAGAAAGAAAGAAAGAGAGATCACTAGTTTATTCGAACTATGCAAATAATTCGATATACCAAGAGAGAGAGAGAGAGAAAGAGAGAGAGAGAGAAAGAGAGAGAAATTAATAATTTTAAAATGATATTTTTTTACTTTACCAGGAAACCTTGTACAAGTCCAGGCTTATGACCTATTTTTTGTTGTTGTAGATACCACGTTAAATGGGCACCCCACGCTGACACAGTCTACTGACGTCGAGCCGACTAACCCTTACAAAAATGTTGTATACTTTTAATGCCAATCCCTCGACAATCAGCCAGATCGCATATTTAGTCGTCATTACGTCATGCGGAGATACTAGATCACGAGGACTATACACGTCAATGTCAATGTATGGACAAAATTGTCCGTTGAAATAATGATTATAACAACATGGACGATAATGAAGATAATAATCACGATAACTATCACATCTTAAGGCTTTATGACAATAGTGCGTCAACATAATCGCACACATGATGTTTACACTAAAGCTTAAATTCGCTTACACCAATAACAGAGCCATGTTTTTTTATCAGCCAGCGTGTACTTCGATAAGCTGTCCAATGAGCTGCATCTTCACCTGGACCTTTCCACGCTGAAGAATCTCTACGCATACACCACAGACAAAACACAAACCCACCCATTCGCGGGGTTTCCTTTGCAAGCATTGAAGGTTTTCAAACGAAAACCAAGTTGCAGAAAGAATCTATCGGAAGGATTATTTCAAGAGAATATTGGATTAACTTTCGGGATGGATTTAACTCAGTGTGTGGCAGTTGTCATTTTGGCGTTCAGCGTTGTGATAGTTCCCGCCACAAGTGAGTTTTTGTTTCTTGTCCTTGGCCGTTACGCCATGCGTCCATCTGGCCATGAGGCTGAACATACCCCCTGGAAGTGATCGAGATTTCATGCCCCTTGTGTTACACATGTAATCTGTCACTGTTGGAAATTGGCTAATCTCACAGCTAAATTTAATGGTTAATATTTTTAAGTTAAATTTTCTCTTATAATGGATTGAATGTAAACCATCACCGTAATGGCCAATGATTGGTCTTTGAACGCAAAATGGTTTCTGTTTAATTGACCACAGCTTAATATACGTGATTCTACTTGTGCCGTACACATTCTATTTGTATGTTTTGTTTTTAAATGAACAGAATTTTCGAAGTAATGTCCAAGTACACGTGTTCCAATCTCCCTTAGTAATTTGCCCCGGAAATCAGGCACCTGCGTAATGTGTTGTACAGCGTGCATGTGTCGTCACGTGTTCTTACCTAAACACACTGAACTGCTGGGTCAGCGTCATATTTTTCATGTACTTATTTATATACATTATGTTCATAAGATGCATACGATGTACGTGTCGGTGCCTTACGATATACTGCAGTACTTGTTACGATATACGTGTTGATCGATCGAGCAGCCTGATGTCTTATGAATATACTGCAGTTCTTGTTACGATATACGTGTTGATCGATCGAGCAGCCTGATGTCTTATGAATATACTGCAGTACTTGTTACGATATACGTGTTGATCGATCGAGCAGCCTGATGACTTATGAATATTCTGCAGTACTTGTTACGATATACGTGTTGATCGATCGAGCAGCCTGATGTCTTATGAATAAACTGCAGTACTTGTTACGATATACGTGTTGATCGATCGAGCAGTCTGATGTCTTATGAATATACTGCAGTACTTGTTACGATATACGTGTTTATCGATCGAGCAGCCTGATGTCTTATGAATATACTGCAGTACTTGTTACGATATACGTGTTGATCGACCGAGCAGCCCGATGTCTTATGAATATACTGCAGTACTTGTTACGATATACGCGTCGAGCAGCCAGGTTCCTTATTAATTATATACTGCACCTGTGAAGATCCGGTTTAGAATTGGTTTTCAGCAAGCCATGCTTGTCGTAAGAGGCGACTAACGGGATCGTGTGGTCAGGCTCGCTGACTTGGTTGATGCATGTTATCGTATCCCAATTACGTGGATCGATGCGTATGTCATCAATCACTGGATTGTCTTGTCGAGACTCGATTATTTACAGAGCGCCGTCATATAGCTAGAATTTGCTGAGTGCGTCGTTAAACGACAAACAAAACAATAATAATGTGGGACGGAAGAAGGAACTTCGAAGGAAAACTTTAGACATTAAATTACCACTTTACGAGAACCATATGGTGCTGACTTAGAAACATAATCACGGCGGATCTGGGATTCGAACCGACGATCATAGGATTCTGATACACAAAAGGGACGCAACTCTGCAAGGCGAATAGTGGCACCTTAGACGACTGGGCCACGTGTGTCCTCAAGTGCATTACAAACCAGATGGCGTGCATGTAATGCATTGTTCTCACATACATACATGTTCTCACACAGACCGAAATAACGCGAGAATAAAGGTCTAGGATGAACATCCGGGTTCCACCAATTCATGACTGCTTACATATCTATACTTGTACCAAGCTTGACTTGAAACACTGGCGCGCCGCACAGCCTAGACTTGCACAAATCTCTAAGACAATTATTATTAGTTTAAATCATAATTTCTAGATTATGTAAATAATAAGAACAAGTTGTCCCTATAAGACTGAAGTACTGTCCACATATCTCTACCTGCCTATTTGGAGGATAGAATTTCTACACATCCATGGACTTTTCTTTCAGTGTAGCCTTGGAGCAAGGCTACGAACAGCCCTACACACTATCATATAACACTTGTGCATTTCACCCTGTGTTTTTCCACATGTTACGCAGATTTTGCATCTTATAATTACCTTTTCGTGTGTCGACAGAACTGCGTTTGTTATAAACCTGTCTGGCTGAAAGTGCGTATCACTATATATACAGTGACTAATAAAGCTGTGTACCGTTACATCTGCTCTTAGGAAACATTGTGGCATGTTGTTGGACAAGGTTCTGTACTCTTGTGCTCTGCTTTCTACCTTGATGAAAGACCGATTAATTTAATCACATGTACAAGTTTCATTGTTTATGCTCGAATGAAAAAAATAAATTATTGCAATTCCCGGAGCATCCCTATAACGATGGTAGCTTCGCGAACATCTGTCAAGACATGACCTTTTTCCTTCTCCGATGTGTGTCAGCAACGTCTTGGTGTTACTCACAGAGCCAGTCAACAGTCACACATGTACAAGCTAGCTACCTTATATGTGTGCCAAATTTACATTACAAGAAACAGGGAGTATATAAAAACAATCTTTGTATCGCCCCCTGCAAGGAGTAACTGCAGCTCTTGCGTTCCTTGGGGTTAGGCGAGGCTTATGTAGTTCCTTTTTTAGCTGTTTCTGTTTTTCAAATTTAGATATAAAGAGATGAGATGTAAAATAATGCTTTGTGTCGGATAACTGTGAAACACACACACGCGCGCGCACACACACACACACATACATACATACATACATACATACATACATACATACATACATACATACATACATACATACATACATACATACATACATACATACATACATACATACATACACACACACACACACACAGACACGCGCGCGCGCACACACACACATACATACACACACACAGACACGCGCGCGCGCGCACACACACATACACACACACATACATACATACATACATACATACATACATACATACATACATACATACATACATACATACATACATACATACATACATACGCGCGCGCGCACACACACACACACACACACACATACATACACACACACAGACACCCGCGCGCGCACGCACGCACGCACGCACGCACGCACGCAGATTGTATGATATCCTGATCAACACCATATGGGATTTACTGCCCAGGGATAACTGACATGTACATGTAGTGTGGGTTAATAACATAATTATCTTTATGAGAAAAATAGGCGGTAATACATTGTATTAGCAGCAGTAGTGATAGTCTCGTGGTAGTTGGTAGTTCTATGGTTATTATCATCACCAATATTACTTTTTTCTTCTGCCATCTGTCAGTAGACAGCCTCCGTGGTCAAGTAGTTGGTATTTATATGGTTTTTATCATCACCAATATTACAATTTTTTCTCCGTCCATCTGTCAGTAGACATCCTCCGTGGTCTAGTAGTTGGTAGTTATATGGTTATATTCATCACCAATATTACTTTTTTCTTCGTCCATCTGTCAGTAGACAGCCTCCGTGGTCTAGTGGTAGAGCGTCCGAGAGCGGAAGGTCTAGGGTTCGATTCCGCGTCATACCAACAGTCTTTGAAAGAAGGAATCCTTTTACCCTGCCTGACGAGTTTTAACCCTGCCTGATGAGTTTTAAGGGTTTAAAACAAGGACTGGAGGGAGTCAGTATACTGTCACTGTTAAACTGCGGCATGGTGTGTCAGTGGCATGCACTATAAATTCCGCATTAGTCCGGACTAGTGCAAGAAGTCACACACACACACACACACACACACACACACACACACACACACACACACACACACACACACACACACACACACACACACACACACACACACACACACACACACACACACACACACACACACACACACACACACACACACACACACACAGCACCCAGCACCCAGCCCCGGAACACATTTATATGCCTTGAAACACTTAATTGCTGTTATGTATAAGATGCTTATCCTCATGGTTAATCCCCATGTTTGTGTACATCGATCGTCTGCCATCATGAACGAGATGTGCAAGTATGTCACTGATGAATTACTGTTTATATTTATATTTATTACTTACTAAATGTCAGGTGACCTTATCTATATAAGCCTTGGTCCAGAGAGATGGAGAGGAAAAGAAAGGTCTTACCCTTAGCCTAGCTAGGGTTAGGCTGGGTGCTCCGGGGCACCTAGATAACAACCACAACCACTATGTGCTGACCTGGCACCGTGTCTTTTGTATGTATATATCTACAGGTATAAAGTAAAACTGTAGATACCGCAAGCCATTGTCTCCAAATTGTAACTTCCTACTGAGAACTATACGTCGGCCCCTTGCATATACGAGTATGCAAATTATACATTAATCAACGTCAGACCAACACGCGTTGTTACAACAAACAAACAAACAAACAAACAAACAAACAAACACACACGTCCGTGCACATCGCTACATAAGTGCAAAAATATTGGATGCGACGTGAAACCCCATTTCACCTCACCTCCTCATCTGTCAGCACTATTAGTAAATCGAGTATGCGGTCTTTCGACGCGACGAGCCAGCCCTTTAACTGGCATTGTAAAGAAAAGTGGTCTTGTGTGACACTGTTTCCCGGAGGTCTGGCTAATATATATTTACCAGACAGAGTTATGGGACGAGTTGAGCAGGACTGTCGAAGTTAAATGTAGCATATCCTAGTGTCTCAAACACAACTCTCTTAACTGACGTACATGATTGTTTTGGAGTCGAAATGATGTAAGTTCCCCCACGCTGACACTAATGTTCCGCCTCATAATGCTGTTTGCTACTTTGGGTTTGTTTGGCTTGAGGAAGCCTTGCTCCAAGGCTACACAGAATATGTCTAGTTATTGTCTCCTTCTATTAGGTAGTACAAGATAAGCTGACAGTTCGCCATGTGACAACTTGTTCTTAAGATTGATTGTTCAACAGACTGGGGTGTACTAAACCTAAGGCACCGAGAACAATGGGGAGTCGGACAACTTGGTAGATGGGATGCATTTCGAAAGCGAGGTCCGCATATTTGCCATGTTTCTACTGAATCTTGTCAATCACATTAATGTCAAAAGGGACAGAGAATTCATTCATATACATGACTTCATTGGATTTAGCAAAAA